GCTTTGAGTTATGATTGAGGATTTCTTTTCTAAATTCAAGTTAAACCCAGAATTTTAAAGTAAGTTTTTCCACATGTAAGATGTGAAATCTCTGGAAACAAGTAAATAGATTAAGTAAGTTAATAGTTGAAGTATGTTGCCACTGGTAGCTAGCAGCTCTATAAATCCTGATTTGTGCAATTCTCAGTGTTAGGTATTTCTTGCTATAGAGTGAGGTCTGGGAGATTGTCATAGTCTTCCCAAGAAGACTTAAAGCTCTGGGCTTTTTTTCTTTCATAGGTATTTATTAAAAACAAGTGAAAAATCCCACATTTCTTTGCAGCATCAGTTAAAATGCCTTTGTTAATCTCTGTGCTGTTGTAATAAATCCTGGTTTAGTAACTCTTGTTTTTTTGGGTTTTTTTTTCCCTGTTCTTTGCAGTATAGCATATAAATGCCTGTGTTCAAATGTTATTTCTTCAAAGATATCTGGAGGGGCTTTACCCTCTTTGTGGTATTCAGTTCTGTTATTCTTGGCCACTCCCATAACTCTGAAATGTTGTTTAACTTCTTAAAATACTAATACTTACAATAGTGAAGAAACTTCCATTTGTAACAGTGAGACTCTGAGGATAAGTAAACCTGTAACAGTGAGGAACCCTGGAAGTTCTAATTTTGTCTTTAATGTACATGGGAATCATCAAATTTTATTTATAAAATCACTTTCCTGGGTACTACCTCAGTGCACCTTTGCAAGTGCACTTGAAAGTCGTGATCTTGCACGGCAAGTAAACATGACTGACTTTACTTGTCTTGACTGATGGTGTGATTAAAGCTTTTCACACACAGAGTTGTTTTTCAGAATAGCAGTGAAAATGCTTTTATGCTCCAAAATTTGTCTTCTCTGTTTTCTTAAAGTCTTGGGTTCCCTCTGCTGGTTTCTTTACACATCTGCTGGTAAAGTAACTTTAGAAAGCCATTCTGGTTTTTACGAAGAAATTGATCTCTCAGTTGCACAAAAGAAATTATTTTCCTCTTGCCTATTCATTGCAAAAAAATTCCTCTTCCAAACATTGATTGAGCATCTGTAATTTTTTTTTTAAATGATTTCAGCTTTACAGGATAATGTTTCAAAGGAGGAACTCTTCAGATAACAGTGAACATCTTAATCCTGAAACTTAGCTTATTTGTATATCTGTATAGATATTAACACAGATACTGTGGCTGTTTTTACAGTTCTTACTCCGTCTTATTCAGAAGGAACTTCGGTGTAATGCAGATCATACCCTGTAAGTGTTATGCATGGCTGTTGCTCTTTAAAAACTGTTCAAAAACATGTTACTGAGCCTTTGCACCGTAATACCTTGCTGTAGACTGAATGTGTTAAGGTTTCTGTATGTTCATTTCTGTCTGCTTTAATTTTGCTTCAGAAGAGTAATCTGTTTGATGTTTTCAAATCATGAACATGTTTCTTTAGAACATCTTATTTTGAAAAGTATCTGAAAACACCTCTGTCACAATCTCTTGCTTATGGTTTGTTTTTTCCCAAATATGTAATATTCCTGGGTTCCGTCATGAAGCATGCAGGTGGGGAATAAGAAGCTACTCGATTGCTTGCTCTGTGTTTATTTTCAAATATAACTTTTTCCAAAAGGTCTCATTAAAGGAAAGGGTGACTCTGAACTTACAGTGGTTGAATTAAGGGGGAAAATAAACAATCCACTCAATCAAAGAGGTTACACTTGCACACACAAAATCTAAATCGAGCCCCTTGGTTGTAGTTTTGGAGAAGTAAAATGGACAGAGAATAGAAAAATGCATGATGGGATGGATCCTGCATTCTGAAGATAGTGGCTGTTATGCTTCACACCTCAACTTTTCCTGCCTTGTTACTGTTCTTTCCCAGGTTTAAAGAACACTGAGCTACAAGACCAGATTTGGAAGAAGGACAGGGTCAGTGATCAGAGCTCCTCCCTGAAAAGCAAACTTCATGGAATGTATTATTCTATATTTAAGAGAGTCTGTTTGGTGAAGAACTTTGCACACTTACTGGAAGCAATGTGAGAAATGCAACTGGTAAATCCCTGAAGCTCTTATTTTTGCACATGAATAAGTACCTCAGGATGGCAACTATTCATCAGATGAAGAGACGGGAACTTCGGGAAGGTTTTAGCAGCACGCCTCAACTGAGCCAAAGAGGAATACCAAGTGCCTTTTTATTTCTTTTGATAAGATGTTTTTAATTAAAATGCCGAACTGTGTATTTTCCAAAAACAAGTCAAAACTAGAGCAGAAAGCAGTTGAAATCGTTAACAGCCTAGCAGTGAAATGTCCCAATGTCAGCAAGCAAAGTATGTATCCCTTATGTCATCTTGCACACATCGAGGGCATCACTTTTACAGAGGACAATACCAACTGGTTGTTAAGATGCACTGCTGTTAGTATTCTGAAGCTGCTCAGACAGTAACAACCTCACTATGTTATTAGTTTTTAACTACAGTAATGCTTCTAATCCCAAGGAAAACATCCAGCTGGTAATGAAATAGAAATTTCTGTTTCAGTGTACTGTAGTTAGCAGTTTTCAGAGACTCTGTGGATGGATGTTAGTCCTCAATTAGGATTGTGCAAAGAGGAGAGTCCTAAGCAACAAAAAGAAGATTATGAGTCAGAAGTTCCAGTGGGAGACTCTAATGGTTTTCAGGGCATTATAAACTGGTTGTGCAAACATCGTGTAATTGTTGTGCTGCTTCTCTAGGCTGGGTTGAAATGAGAGGTTGTTCCTTTGGGGTGACAGAACTGTGAGCTGTCGTACTTCAGCAGTACAGGATTGAACAGATGAGCTGCTTTAGTGCCCGCTGCCACCGTGATCTCTATTGGGTACTCCCTGGTTTCAGTGCTGGTGTGTGCACATGGAAGTCATCATCAGATCAGAGTCTTAATAACCAGGAATCTTTCAAGTAGCTACTTTCAAGTGGCTTTGAATCTGAAATTCAGAGCCAAAATCTGTTTATATCAGAAAAGAAAAATTACCTAGGTGGTAGGTTGTAAGAGAACATTTCAGTAACTAGTGTTATCCAGCAAATAGATGGTTTAATGTCTTCAAAATATATCATTTCTTTGTACAGCTAGCTCCTTTGCAAAACAGATGTTTGTGATTTTTTTTAAAGATGTACAAAGTAAAAAGGAACTTTTTTGTATGAGTGTTTACACTTAGATCATGAAGGCTAGATAATTTAAACTGTGTATTATTCTTGACTGTATTTATTAAAGCTCTAGGCATATGTCTTGTTTTGAACTATGCTCAAAGTTTTGTGAACCAATGCAGTAGTCTTCATCACTCTCTAAAAGTCCTGCAAAACATGAAGAAATATTCTCATCAGCTGCTGGTGTTCCATGTGCTGGCACAGCACTTGATTTCCAGGGCTGTTTTGTATTTCTTCAGTCTTTGATCAGTTGTTTCACTGGTTTGATTCAGCATGTGCTTTATGCTTGACTTGAACAGTATAAGAATGTGTTCATTTTTAACTGTTTTGCTGAACAGAGATACAGGGAAGACCTCAGTCCCACAAAGACAGAAGGAGAGTACCAAAGTCCTTGCAAGTGAATGCTCTACGTAGACCTTAACCCTGGAGTTGCCTAGATGAATGGTTAACTTCACACATTTTGAGTAAACCTGTTGAGACCAATGGGAATACTCAACATGTGTGTTTGTAAATCTGTCCTGTGTTTGGACTTTAGGCTGCAGTTAAATGTGACAGAATTCTGCAGCAATGATACATGAAAGGACTTCTCTCGTGGTGGCATGGCACACTGCCCCTCGCTTGGCAAGGCTGACTCTTTTGGAGACTGCTGGCCAGACCAGGGGACTGATCTAGCCTCTGATGGGGGGGAAAAAATAACATTGCAACCCCAAAACAGCTGTACTGGCAGAACTTCAATGGCTGGGTGAGGAGGGAGGGATGGAGGACTTCTTTAGCTGAAGATGTCAGTCTCTTCCCCACAAAAAGGTATGTAGAGCTACATACTAGTTTATTGAAACAATTTAAACTCTGCTACACTCAGATTTTGAGAGGCTGTTTGGAATGGATTGAAGTCTATAACACTTTCAATTGTATTTAACAGTTACAGGTTGTAAAAATGTTTGACTGTGTTTTGGGTTTTACATGTTTTACTTGTTGGGGCTGCTGCTGTTATTTATTTATTTATTTGAATAGCTTTTGCACTGCAGTGGCTCGGGTGTGGGATGACGACAATATCGGAGGTGCCGGGCTGAGTCCTCCCTTCCATTGATGGTAGGAGGGGAGGGAGTTAGGGCTCTTAGTGTACCAATGTCTCCCTCCTTGCTAATGTGCAGCATTTCAGTTCCTCCCAGCTACGACTTTGTTGCACAAAAAGATAAAGATTTGCTTTTCTTTCTTAACGACATTAAGAGTCCCCCGAATTGTGAATAAACTTGTGTTGTTTCTAGTATCGGATGTCAATATTCACGAATCTGGAAATGAGCAAGACTGGTGAAACTTGGTATGTAGAAATGTGAGTGACTGGTAGGTAGAGCCAAATTTAAATATGACTGCAGGGTTTGTTTGTTGTTTTATATTGCTGGTTATTGTGAATTTTATCCATTTACCGTCCTGTGTTGAATAAAATAGATTCTGCTTTAAAATGAGAAATGTTGATTACTTCGTCTTTTACATCTCCATGAAGAAATGCTCCATTTATTGGTTTGAAGGATAGACATCCCTGCTGGGACAGCGTTCCCATCTCTTGTGAGGGTAATGAAAATGGTTCATTAGGAGAACAAATTGGAACTTTTTGTTTTGAAAACAGTGCCCTTCTCAACTTGAACATGTAATTTTTTTCCTTTTGTGGGGTTGTGGGTTATATACAACATCAGTATTTCCAATCAGCTGCATCAGATGGGTATCTTCTTCCTCCTTATTTTGGTCTAATAGGGAAGGTGGATGCTCACCTGAGTCAGGGACCAAGTCCAGCTCCTACAGCCTAGTTTTAAGGTGACTTTTTGTTGTCTGCTTTGCTTGCCCTTCAATTTATATAAAATTGAAATTGAAAAGCTTAATCTTCTCTCTTTGCCTCTAATAATCTTGAACATTTATTGTCTTCATTCTGTTATGATGTTTGATGGAGTTTGTGTGACTCTACCAGAGAGATAATATCCAAACCCACAAATGCACTAGGGAAAACCTGCTTGGAAACAAAACCAATTTCTGGTTAGAAAAAGGCCTCTGAAAGTCTTGGACAGAATTTCTGATGAAAATATGCCCAAAGTGCTTCCCAAGAATAGGCGAATAATAGCTGGGGCATCTTATGAAAGAAGGGAGACGCAGATCCAACTGTCTGTTCTGAGTGGGAGCAGGAGCCTGCAGCAGAGCACTCGCACCCTCATGAGTGCCCCGGCTCTTGCTGGACACGCTGCAATGGAGATTTGTCTCTGTTGTGTTTAGGAAGGGTTTAGAGGGTGGGGAAAAAGATAAATAGAGGTAGCAGGGAAGTTAGTGTCATGTTCAGAGGTTGCTTTGAGACTTCTTTTGCCTGTAAGTCAAACTGCCAACCTGCTCCATGCACTAGGATTCACATACCCCTATATGTTTGGGTTTTTTCTGCTTAGGACACTTCAGAAGGGATTCTGCCATCTGCTTCGGGAGGTTATTGCATGTGTTTCTGGTATGATATCCTCAGAATAACAACAGCAATTCTCCATGTGTGTTTGTGCCAATGTTATGCTGCCTCAGACTTTGGCTGACCGTGTCATGTTTGCGACTGGGAGTCAGTCTGGTTGCTGCTGGTCGGTTTCTCCAGTGACTGATGTGTGGGGCTGTTTATATGAGAAGTGCTGCTTAAAATCAGGTAGATGTAAGAGAGTATAAATGAAACCAGAGGATGTTCAGAGCTGTTGGAGGCAACTGTTCTTCATATGGAATTAATTTGAGGAAGATTGTTTATAATCCCATCAGATGATGAAGCCCAGCATTGGTAACAGTGGTGTTCCCTGCTCTGAATGAAATTTTATGGCCTGCATCTTGTATAAGAGCTTAGATTAGATTATGTCATGATTTGTCCCAACATCAGAGTTTATCTGATATGATGTTCTGATTGCTGACCTACATCACTTTCACCTTCTAGTTTTGGTTTTGTTTTGCTCTCTGCTAAACCAGCCGCGCAGTAGTGGGGACTTGTCCTCCTGCCCTCCTCTCGCAGTCTGAGGTGCCTGGGCAGGGGGACTCAGCTCGTTGGCAGGTCTGCCTCTGTGTGCTCTGCACCTCTGGGAACCAGGA